CTTAGTGTGGCTTTAAGTCTTGATTTCTGGTACGATAAACTGTAGAGTTTTGAATGCCTTCAAGACTGGCCATCCCTCAATCTTTTGTGTTGCCATATAAATCTTAGCACCAGTTTGTCAGCTTCACATGTACACACAAATCTCCAGGGGTTTTGGTTAGCTTTACAGTGACTACAGATAATTTGGGGAGAACTGACATGTTATAATCTATGAACATAGTGTTTATTTTCTTTAATTTATGTATAGAGGTTTTCCACATCTCCCATAAGGTTTATTCCTGGATTGTTGATCTTTTCCAAGCTGTCATAAACATTGTCATTTTTAAAACTCCGTTTTTAATTATTTATTGCTGCTTTTAAAAAACAAATTGATGTTTTTGTATCAATCCTGTATCCAATGACATTGATAAATTCACTTAATAATTATAATGGTCTATCAGCCATTTCAGGTTTTTTTCTACACGCAATTACGTTGCCTCTGAACGATGACTTATTCCAGGTCCTTGCAATGTTTGTTTTTCTTGCCTCCTCACACTGGGTCCCCTTGGTACGAGGCTGAATAGAAGTGGTGACAGTGGGCATCCTTGTCCCCAGTGTCAAGGGGAAGAGTTTTCAGTATTTCACCATTAATCATGCTGTAGGCTTTTTGTAAATTCCATTCATTAGGTACAGATTTCCACTGTTCTTACTTTGCAAACGTTTTTAAAAAATTGTGAATCGATGATGAAATTTATCAAAGGCTTTTTCTATATTGAAATAATTATATTGGTCTTTTCCTTTATTCTGTTCATGTGTGAGTTAATTTATTAATTTTAAATGCTGACACAACCATGTGTTGCCAGACTAAACTGACTTTGATCATGAGGTAATTTTTATGTGAATGGAATTATTAAAAATATTTGTTTAGAATTTTCGCCTGTATATTCATGAGAGACACTGGCTTTAATTTTCTTGTAATGTACTTACAAAGGTTTTGATATTAAGATTATTCTGGCCTAATTGGACGTGTTGGGAAAGGTTCTGTTGTCCTCTGCTCTGGAAGAGTTTGGATAAGGCAGTTATGTCTTCCTTGATGTCTGGGAGAAGTCACTGTTGAAGCTGTGTGAGCCCAGTTATTTATTGCGTGTTGTGTGTAGGAATACTTTCGGTTAGGTATTCAGCTTCTTTCATATATACAAGGTTTTCAGACTTTTTGGGTTTCTTTCTCTTGTGTCAGTTCTGGAAGTTACGAGAAATTAGTCCATTTCATCTGAAATTTAAAATTTACTGGCTGAAAGTTGATAATCATACCTTGTGATTTTTTTTTTTTAATGACTCCAAGATCTATATGATGTCCCCCTTTTCTTTACTGATACTGGGTGATGTGTATCTTTCTTTTGGTTAGTATTTTCAGGCCTTTATTAGTCTTTTCAAAGAACTTTATTTTGCTTTTGTCCTCTCTTTTGTACTTTTTTTCTTCTTTTTTGCCTTTTTAATCCAGAGCCCTCCAGCAGTAGCTGTCGACCTTGATGCCAATCCCAGTCAGCTGTGTCGCCTGAAAAAGCGTAGCTGCCGAGGCCTCAGCCCACGGATACTGACTTGGTAGGCGGGGCCGGGCCCCAGGTGCTCTTATGCTCAGAGAACGTCGCAGGTGATTCTGACCTACAGTCACGGCTGAGAACTTGAGAGAACTTCTTTGCTTAGTAAGAAAGTGGCTTTGACATTGTTAATCAACACGCTGAATTCTGTGGTTTTATTAAAAGTCTGTAGAAGCTCTTTCAAAGATACTTTATAGGCTATCATGCTTTCTGAGTTAATATATTTTAACCTCCGCACATTCCTCATGTTGAACTAGGCTATTTTTTCTGTATGATTAACCTTTAAATTTCCATAAACACATCAGTTTCTTAAAGTTGCTCACAGGCTCAACTTCTCAGACATTCAGTCATTATGTTACTTTTTCCTGAACCAGTAAAACATTTTTCCATTCATTCTTAACTTCTTAAACAATGAACTGACAAACTATAAATCAGTATGGAACTGGCTTACGTGATATCTCGTTTTTAGGGCAATTCTGGGACCCCCCTCCCTTCGTCTCTCCTGCTGCATGCCCATCAGGTCGCTGGCTAGTTACGATGACCCCGTGACCTCCATTTGTGTAGCTGGTTGGCCTTTCATAGACAGGTGAATGGGTCCTACAGGCAGGGGCCTGGTCTCTTCCTTTCTCAGAATAAGCCTGGGTCATTCTTATTACCCCAGGAGGACGAGAAATTGTGATGATGACAATGAACAGAAAAATAATGGCAGAGAAGTAGGGGACAGATCTTCTAAAGAATGTAGGCGACTTGGAATTGAAGCTGGCACAAAAGCAGTGCTTAGGAGCAGCCAGCAGTGAGATCTGAAAATTAAATGTCTGCTAGTCCTGGTGTTTGGCACGTTCATGAAGGGACTGGCCAGTCTTCTTGCCTGGCGGCAGGCTGGAGATATCGCTACGTGCCGAAGCTGGTCTTCCCTGATCAGCGTGCAGATCTGACGGTAAGGGCAGGGCCTCTGGTGATGACCTGAGAGTGGCATGGCCATTCACAGTGTCCTGACCGTCCCTACTTAAGGCACGGCCAGATCTCGTTCATGAGTTTAACAGGCTGATAGCTCGTCTGCTTTATGTATCATTGCTGAATCAGTATGTCTCTTACAAGAAGATGTGGCCCGTGGAAAAAATATTGACATTGCAGTCTTCCCACATGTGAGTTCAAATAGTAGTGAACCAGTTTTCCTGGCTTATAAGATAGGAAAATACTTACCTAGCACTTACGGTTTAAGAATTAGAAGAAAAAAATAGATGTAGCAGTGACTCAGTCAGTGTGTGTAGAACTCCGGATGCAGTTTTCATGGGGAAACTTCCCAAGGGTAAGAATTTTAAGGGTTGTCCTGGCCTGTGTAGGGCCTACAGGTGGGCTTTAATTGTGGCATAATGTGGGTGTGCAGGGGATCATGGGGCTCTGACAAGTGGCTGTGTTCATATTAGCCAGTCTGCCTGGATGGGAAGTAGGAAGGGATCAGGGCTCATGCTGGATGGAAAAATCAGAGTATCTCCCATCTGATTCTCTTCCTGTTTTAAGTATGTTTCTTCTCTAACCACTTTATTGGAAGGCCTGAGCTTTTAGAGCACGAGTCAGTAGCTTGCCTTTTGTTTCCATGGCTGCCTTTCAGTAAGACCTTACCATCTCCTTGCCCTGCTCTGTGACAGCACCTCAGGAAGGTCTCGTGGCTTTATTGTCATGTTTGAGCTCTGAAGCAACGATCCTCCTGTGCTGCGGTGGCCGGGCCCGTCTAGGTGACGGTCTGTAGTGTCCGCTCAGTCGTCTGCGGAGGCGCTTCTCCTTCCGCTGGCTCAGGACTCCCTCAAGTTGAGGGACTTGCAGAAGGAAGCAGCCCTGGGATGCCCTTTCACACTCCCCGTTCCATTCCCCTCCTCACCCTCAACTTCTGGCTCCCCTGGGGGCTGGGGGAGGAGGATTTATAGGAGAAGAAAGCAAAGGACAATGTTCACTTTTTAAAAACTAGCTAGTTTTGTTTGTAATACTCTTGGTTCTCAAATGTCCGGTATTATGTCAGGAATCCAATTATCAGCTCTTGCATGGGATCTCTTAGGGGTTCTTCAAAGAACCCTGTAGAAACCTGCCCCCTGTACCCCGATGTAGCTTTTGGGCTTCCTGGCTGAGCTCTTACAGCCCCTCTCAGCTCCTGCTGTGCTCGCTCATACCTCCCAGCAGTGCCCTGGGACAGTGTCCCCTGACCACCTGCTTCAGCCTCCATGTGGGCTGTGGAAAGCTCACCATCCCTGCCCCAAAAGGCCATGCAGCTGGCACCCCCATGCCCCAGTCCAGTCGACCCCCTGCCTCAGACTCCACACTGGTGGCCGTGCCCCCCTCTCTGTGCCTCCACAGCACAGGCCAGCTCCTCCCAAGAACTCCCTCGGGCGCCATCCTGGCCGCAGCGGGAACGGGCCCATGGGGCCTCCCTCCCAGCAGGTGTTTGGTGGGCGCATCAGACACTAGTCTCCCTCCTCAGAATCCTCCCATCTCTGAGTGGTTCTCCTGAGGTCCCCGTCTTCCGCTTCGCAGGGAGGAACAGAGAACAGCACAGCACTCCAGGCCGTTAGGAGTTCGCTTCCTGGAACCCTCCCGAGTGAACATGTTGGCTTCGAGGCCCCTGGGCGTGGAGCTGAGCAGCTCGACACTTCTTAGCAGCGGTGTGCTAAGCCTCCCTCTCTAGAATATGGGCCACATACCACCCATGGCATTTGGCTTTGGGGCATCATTAAAACTTATGGGCAACAGAAAAATCTACTTTCTGTAAATGTGGGTAAGGCAGCACAAATGACTGGCTGGAAAAAGCGAACCCATTAGTTGGTAGAGCAGAAGCGAACGGCAGCTGCTTTTGATTCTGTTGTACAGGCCGGTGACTGCAGACGCTTTCCTGACTGAGTTTCTTTTTTTTCTCTCTATCCCTTTTCCTATTTCACCCCACCCCACCCCACCTCCCTCCCCTATGGCAATCACCAGTCTGCTCTATTTTTATTGTTTGTTTTGTTTTTTAGATTCTACATACAAGTGAAGTCATACGGCATGTCTTTCTCTGACTTATTTCACTGAGCATCATAACTCCCTAGATCCATCCATGATGTCTCAGTGGCAAGATTTCATTCTTTTTTTATCACTGAGCAATATTCCATTGTTGTGTATGCACCACATCTTCTCTGTCCATTTATCTGTCAATAGACACTTGGGGTGCTTCCATATCTTGGCTATTGTAAATAGTGCTACAGTAAACATAGGGGTGCATATATCTTTCTGAATTAGTGATTTTGTTTTCTTTTGGCTAAATACCCAGCAGCAGAATTACTAGGTCATACAGTATATCTATTTTTTAGTTTTTTGAGAAACCTCCACACTGCTTTCCACAGTGGCTGCACCAATTTACGTGCCCAGCATCAGAGTAGGAGGGTCCCTTTCCCCCACATCCTCGCCGACACGAGTTGCTTCTTGTCTTGTTGGTACAGCTGCTCTGTTGACAGGAGGGGCTCTCCCAGTGTGGTTTTGATTTGCATTTCCCTGATGATTAGTGATGTGGAGCATCTTCTCATGTGCCTGTTGGCCATCTGTGTCTTTGGAGAACTGTCTGCTCAGGTACCCTGCCAATTTCTAAGTCAGATTGTTTTTGTTGTTATTGTTGAGTTGTATGAGTTCTTTCTGTATTTTGGGTATTAGTCACTTACTGGCTATATCATTTACAAATACCTTCTCCCGTAATTGCCTTTTCTTTTTGTTGGTGGTTTCCTGAGTTTCTTATTGTCCTAACCCTAGCAGACATGTGTCCTGTCCAGAAACTCATGAAGCCATTTCCGACTCCCCTGCCTTCCTGAAATGTGTCAAATCCACATCGGGTTTCCTTAGGACTTTCTCTCCAGAGCTGGTCTCAGAGGTCTTATCTGCTAATGGTGAAGTTTCCAGACCCAAAGGAGGGCTGGCAGAGAAGGCAGCACTGAGGTGCGTCAAATTCTAACCGCATCACATTGGGTGAGCCTCTGAGTCATTTTCCCACAGTGTCTTGCACATGAAAGAGATTTTGACTTGAAATGCTGATTCAGTGATGCCCCTTTCTGTTGCTAATACATGTGACGACGCACGTCCCCGCACCTGACCACAACAGAGATGTTTTTAATGTCAGAATGACAAAACCACCATGTGTATGACGAAAGGCCGAGTGGAAGCTAAGATTTAATTAGTTCTATTTTTATTGCTCATTTTCCCTACAAAGCAGGTCAATAAAGACAGTGGTGGTTTTAGGTGAACGGTATCTTCTTCCTCAGACTTTTTCTAAAAGTGGGTTCACGTTCCTTTCTTGGGGTGACACACCGGTTACTTGGGAGTCAGTCAACAGTCTCCATCCGACCCCCATTAAAAAAATGCTTTGTGCTGCCTAGCAGGAGAGTTTTAGTAAGACAGAGTATCTTAACGAATCTTTAGTTTCTGTCCCTGTTCATAGAGGAAGCCACGACCACGTGCCGCTGAGAAGCAGCAGCGCCTGCAGACCCGGGACGGGGTGAGGGCCACCCGCCAGCAGCGGGAGCAGGTGGGGCGCCTGGCAACAAAGGGCCTGTTTGGGCCTCAACAAGAGCATGAGGGATGTGATCCTCCTTCGCAGGCCTTTGGTTTTTCCTCCTGCTTTGGTGCTAGTTTCTCCCCTGCTCTGGTGGACTGTCAGCTTCCTCATGAGCAAAACAGTACCTGCTCTCCCTGACCCCCAAAAAAGTTCAAAACACATGAAATGAATACCAAGACATATGAAAGTGTTTTGTGAACTCTTAAGCCCTGCACGACTGTGCCCCAGGGCAACTGCACAGAGCCCGGGTGCTAGACGAAGGGGAGCAGGCCACCGCTGCGGTCGCCTGGGGGCTGAGCGCCCAGTCCTGGCCACACGTCCTCGACACAGGGACAAAAGCTCCGTGACTGCAGGCTCTGCCGGATCTGGCTTCTTGCTGCTCCACCCGCCTCGCCTTACACGTTTTTCTCTCTCCATCCAAAACCCATATCCACGCTTTAGCTTTTTAGCCAGTTATCACTTCCTCATGGTAGCCATTCACAACTCCCTGGCTTCGTCAAATTCCTCCTATTGCATGATCTTACAGAATTCCAAATTTGGAAGTTTGTCATGGTTCCAATTTCCATCTTTTTAAGTGATCTCACATTTTCTATGATGGAGGTAATGTTGTAATATATTTTCCTTAGTAATTAACAAATCAAGTATATAAGTAATGTTACAAGTTTAAAAGCATTTTATATAAATAAAATCTAAGTCACAAGAACATGTTAGAAACTGTCTGTGCCTTGATTTTTCATTCTGAAATTAGGATCACTGTCTCACCAAGACAGTCCAATGCTTCCCAGGTGGGACAGCGATCACCACCCCCAGATGAGGTGAGCAAACAGGAGAAGGGTAAGGAAAAGAAATGGCTACTGATGGTCTGTTATTCCAGAGACTCCTGGACAGACAGGTTCCTAGGTCTCGGCGTTAGAAGGAGCCCTCGGACTCCTCTGCTGGGGCACAGGACAGTGGGGCTGAGGGACCAGCCAGCTGGGGAGACTGCACGTCTTCTCTTCCCAGACAGGCCGAGCAGATGAGGAGTGAACCGCCGAGGGCCAGGAACACACCGGCAGCCCAGCCCAGGAAGAGGGCGTCTCCAAACTCCCACCGAGGCACAATTGCAGGGACATCGTCGTCCCAGAAGTCTTGGATTGTGGCGTAGGCCACCCAGGAGACTGGGAAGAAGGTAGTGACTGCAGCTGACGCCTCCAGACTCCCTCCCACGAGGCAAAGCCGCCTCTTAAATACCCATCTGATCCTGTGCAACTGGAAGCATTCGGACCCAAAGCCAGAGAGCAGAAGCCCCAGGAGGCCCAGCCCCTGGGAGGCTACCATGAGGATGCGGGATACCTGGAGCTCCCGGGGCAGAGACAGGAAGGGCTCCAAGGCTTTGCACACAGCGGCAACGTCCTGATTCACGCAGACCTCCCACAGCCCCATGGTCCAGGTCTCCATTTCATTCAGGTCCAGACTGAGCGTCTTCCACCGTGGCAGGACAGTGGTGACGCAGGAGCAGACCCAGCCCAGGAGAGAGAGGAGCAGCGCCCCGAGCTGGGCTTTCCCACAGACACTCCAGGCCATGAGAGCTCCCGCCACAGAGGCAGAAAGACAAGGACAGGAGGCTTGGTGACGGTTAGCAGGGACTTTGGGGAGGCTGAGAGGACGGTCTCACATGGGGGAGGGTTCCTGTTTCAGTTTTCTAGGCTGCAGCTGAGGCAGGTGCCAGGCACTTGGCAGTGTTTGGGTTGAGGGGGTGTGCCCAAGATCAGGTGTGGGTGTGGATAGTGGGGGATGGTCCCATGAGAGGTGAGAGGTAAAAAAGCAGAGAGTAAGCCATCAATACATATTTGAGCAATAAATTCATAAACTTAAAGTCACTCCCCAATCCGAGATGATAGGAATGCTGTTCTGGGAATATAACTTCTGGAGGGCAACCTCCACGTTCCACACTTTTAAATACTCACTTTGACCCAGCACCCTACCTCCAGGAACTTAGCCTAATTTATTGTGAATGTATACAAAGATTTACAAAAATGCCCATTGAAATATTGTTAATAATTGCACATTTTTGTTAATACTATTCAGCCATTTTAAAGTGATATGGAGGAAATTTTAATGACATGAAAAATGTTTTTGATATGCTGCTAAGTGAGAAAAGCAGGTGACAGTATAGAGGACATAGAATACACTGTCAGAAACGCATATCTATATCGCTTAGATCTATGAACATGCATATCATATACCACAAAATGTTAACCATGGTTACTTTAACAGAAGGATTATGGATAGTTTTTATTTCCTTATTTATGCTGATCTATGTATTTTTTAAGTTTTAAAAATTTACTATTTAGTATTTTTGGAGGAAGAAAAAAGCTGAAAATTCCCCAATCCAAGAAACCTACGTAGACCCAGCACAAACCGAGAGGGACGTGCTCCCTCCCCAGTGTCCCCAGGTTGCAAGGACGTCAGCAGCTGACGGTTGTCTGCCAGCTCCCAATCCTTTGTTGCCACTCCCAACAGGGAGGTTGATAGGAAAGGAAACAATTCCCACTTACTGAGTGGGCCTAAAGGTCAGACTTTGGCTAGACACTGTACTTGATTTTCACACCACTGCTGTGAGATTCGTTGGGTAACTTGTCAGGGTCTCCCAGCTAGTCAGCACCAGCTCCAGCTTCCGAGCCAGGCAGCCCTGTGTCATTTCATGTTCTTGGCCCCAGGCTGAACAGGGCGCCCTCCTGCTCCGTGCCTACACCCCAGAGACGCGGCACGGGGCTAAGAGGGGATCTTCATAGCCAAACACAGAGGAAAATGGGCCGATTATACTGCGGACAGACGTGACCGGTGTACTCCCCTGTTCCTGTTTCAGCCTGCTGGTTGCCCTGTGGTCCCCTAGGACCTGGAAGGAGAGGCTCGACGCTCAGCAAGTAGGAAGCTCTGAGAAGGTGTTTCTTGACTTTCTGAATGTCCTCACCACGTCTGGAGGTGGAGGGCAAGCAGAATTATCAGGATTGCTTTCTTTTTCTTTTAGAAAATTTCAAACATATACAAGAGTAAATGGTATGAATCAATCTCATGTCCTATCTCAAAATTATCTACCTACTAATCTTGTTTCATCCACACCCATACCCACCACTCCTCATCCCTCCCTTCATATCATTTTGAAGTGAATGGGATGCTGTCCAATTGTAGGCTCCTGCTGCTTTTATAACCACCGCATGTTCTAATCGGTACGATGGCAGAAGTCGTGCGTCCTGGAAATGCTGTCTGCTGGTGCTATATCCATTTTGCTACTTTGCATCCTGAATAGAGGCGTGCCACGTGTGCGAGCCGTGACAGGTCAGGAGCAATTGTTTCAGACATTGCTCCTTATTTTCCTTATCTTTCCTTCAGACCTTTCTTGCTTTGTGAACATCTATGAGTTGGGAGATGTACAAACCATGGGAAGTGTGAGTGTAGGAAACTGAATCCATTCACTATTTCTTCTTACTTACTCAAGCATTCATTCATACCTGCACACACTGACTGCCTGTAACAATCCCACTCCATTCCCTATGCTCGCCTCCATCTTCAGCCTGACTCTGGCTTTTCTGTCTTCCTGGAACCCTGAGGAACAGCCGTTAGCTTATCCAGCGGCCTCTGCCCAGGGAGAGGCAGAACTTCTGCAGTTGTCTGGGAGTGAGCATCGGTCAGTTTCCTGGAGGAAGATCCCAGAACTTCGACCTAAAGACGACCTCCTTCGGTTGTCAGTCCAGATTCCTCTTGCTGTGAACGCTCCCTGACTCAGTCACGGACCGGATGCCGCTCCCCCAGCACTTCCCGGGCCCTTTGTACCTTCCTCAGAGGTAGAAGAAGCTTCGGGGCCCCCTACTCGCACAGGCCCCTTCTAAGGCCTGCTCGTAAGTTTGTATTTGCTATTTTAGATTTTCCTGAAAGAGCTCTGCCCCTCCCAGCAACTGCATAAAATCTGGATCCCTTATCTACCTCCAAAATAGTAAGGGTCATATTTTCTTGAGATTTATTCATGTATTTCTTAAGATTAGTCAGTTAATTCTGTATATTTATTCACATTTTGGATTTCCTGCCTAGCCTAATTTTGAGGTAGGATATGAGATTTCTTTATACCATCTGCTCCACTTCTGTATATGCTTAAAATTTCCTAAAATAAAACATAAGAAAGCAATCCTGATGATTCTGCTTGCCCTCCACCGCCAACTGATCACCTAATCGGGCTGCTTACGTGGTGAGGCATCATTCAAAGAAAGTCAAGAAACACCTTCTCGGAGCCTCTCCTTCCAGGTCCTAGGGGACCACAGGGCAACCAGCAGGTTGAAATGGGAAGGGGGGAGTACACCGGTCACGTCTGTCTGTAGCACAATCAACCCGCTTTCCCCTGTGTTTGGCTGCGAAGGTCGCCCCTCGGGCCCATGCCGCGTCTCCGGGGTGCAGGCGCAGAGCAGGAGGGCGCCCTGTTCAGCCTGGGGCCAGGAGAACGTTTTAGTCAAAGCAGTACGCGTTCACTGCAGGAAAACATAACTTCACCTTAAGAATAAAACTGTCAATTATTTTATCAGCCACCTCGGGTTTATTCAGGAACAGCGGAGAATTCTAACTCGGGGGATGCGAGCTACGGCGAAACCAGAGTCGAGTGCAGAGGGCAAACGGTCGGCGGAGTCGGGAGCGCCGTCTGGGCGCGGCGCCCAGGTGCCGGGGGGCCGGGTCCGCAGCGCCGCCCGCGGGATTCCCGCCTCGCGTTCCCACGGCGCGGGCAACGTCGCCCGTCACCCGTGCGTGAACCCCGAGCAGTCCTCTAAAGGAGCCACACTGCACAGCACGTGGCGAACGTCCTCCAGGAACATTTAGACCTGAAACTCGAAGAGCTTTCGGGAACCCACCTGTGACGTCCCACGGCACGGGCCCAGCGCGGCCGCCTGACACTTCGTCCCGGCAGCGGGCACGAGCACGCCGCCCGCCGGGGGCGCGCACGGAGTTACGCAGGCGCCCAGAAGAGCCCCGGGCCCCGCGCCGGAGGCGGAGCGCGGCGGGGTGGCGCATGCGCCCCTCCACTTCCCAGAACCCCGCCGGGCTGGACTGAGGCCCGTGCGGCCCGCGCGGCCCGGCTCGCCGGGCCTTCCGGGAGGCGATGCGAAGTGCAGAAACGGGTCGGTAGGAAGATCCCACGTGTCAAGGCGCGAAGAGGAGAGCCGTTTGGAAGCGCCGAGGAGCAAACGCGCCTGCCGAGCGCCCGCCGGCCCTGGCCGGCCGCGGGGCCTGCTGGGAGCGGAGTGTGGCTCCCGCCTTCGCGCGGCGGTCCGGGTCGCGCGAGACTTCGCTTCCCGGCAGGCCGCGCGCCGTGCCGCGGAGGGAGCTCCGGGGCCGCTCGTAGTGATGGCTTCGTTCGTGACGGAAGTCCTGGCGCACTCGGGCCGACTGGAGAAGGAGGATCTGGGCACCCGCATCGGCCGACTGACGCGGCGGGTGGACGAGGTCAAGGTGAGGCCGGCGGCCGCCGGGGACGGGAGGAGGGGCGCCGGGCCCTCGCGCGACGGGCCGGGGCCAGGGCCGGGGCGGGCGGGGCGCGGGGAGGGGAGCCGGTCCCGCCCGCAGCCCTGGGGTCGGGGGTCCGCACCCGCCTCTGTGCGCGGGCCGGTGGCGCGGGGGGCCGCGCGGCGGGAATTCGCGCCCCGGGTGTTTCCGTGTTAGAAGCTGTGGGTGTTGAGCGCGCCTGCGTCCCCGAGGCTGGAGGCTCGGAGCTGGAGGCTGTGCCGAACGCCGCGGACACGCAGGCGGGGCCCTGGGCCCGGGGTCGGCGGAGCCCCGTCCCTTCGCTTGGTGGAGTGATGCTGTCAGCAGCTGTCACACCCGCGTCGCTCTCGCCGCAGTGACGTGCGCGGCCGCAGGCCTGGACTCGAGCGGCGTGGGGCGCCGGGCCGTGAAGGCGCGCGTCCGAGCGCCTCCGGCACCGCCTGGTGGTACAGGGCTGCTTCCTGCGGCGGAGTTTCTCGGTCCTGTCATTGAACGCCGCGTAACGGACACTGAGTTTCCAGGTCGCGGCGCCCCTGACCCGGTTTGAGGATTTTTCACCCATCTTCTTAAAGCTGCCCTGGGCACCGGGCGCCTCCCCTGTGCTCTGGACCCTGGGTGCTTTTACCGGCCCGAATCTGTAGCCAGTTGAGAATTACTTTCTGTGCGCCGCGCAGGCCTTGGATTCTGCTCATGTCTCCATTTCTCCCTCTTTACCTGTACTATCGCCACCCATTTTTCAGGGTCCATCTCAAATGCAGTTTCCTGCATGAAAAGCGCCCCCATTTTCCTTCAGGCAGAGGTGGCCCCCTCCGGGTTTGTGTTCCTGGAGCACATGAACTCTGTTGCTGTCTTACATTCTGAATTCTCCATCCTGGTTCCTTAAGGGTATATGGTAATTTTCCTACTCAGAAGGAGTCTGTGGGCGTTCAGTGCAGAGTATTCTATCATTTGTTTATTGACGGAAGTCAAATCAATGTAGGGGGTCTAAGATTAGGCCTTAAAATTTTATAAGCAGAAAGATAGAAATTCATTAATTGTTTGAAGTATACAGATTATGGATTTAATTTATTCATTTGCAGTCTTTTCTGTTAGATACATGATTAAAATTGGTGGCTAGAGTCTGAGCTGATACAGTTCAGTATCAGAGATTCTGGCTCCACTTTCTCCTTTCCAGCCGTGTACTCCTCTCGGGCACTGGTGGGATTTAGTGATCTTTGCTTTCTTACACCCCAATAATGTGAGGGACCCGTAAGGGTGGGAGAAATTTGTTTTTCAAAGAAACCCGTTGACTTGAAGGGAAAGTGAGTGGGTGTGGGTAACTGGCAGGAAGGCTCCAACATGGACGATTCCTTTAGGAAGACGAGCTGTTTATTTTTAATAGAGTTCCCTATTCATCTCCCTGCAGTTCTTTTATCTTCTGTTTTAGGGTGAGGTGTGCAGTATGATCAGCAAGAAGTACAGTGAATTCTTGCCTAGCATGCAGAGTGCGCAGGACCTGGTCGCCCGAGTGGATAAGCTGTCTGATGACATTGACCTCCTGAAATCCAGGATAGAGAGTGAGGTAAGAATAGTTGGTTATGTTGCGTCGGTTCGTAGGGAGGCAGTTCAGCTTCCTGATTCCTCCCCAATTCAGTTCTGTACAGCTTTTCGAGACTTCACTTTCCTTATTGGGAAATGGTATTCAAATTACATGATTTTAGGGTAGCTTCCAACTTACAATAGAAATATTTTCCAAAACTGTAATTTAAAAAATTTATTTTTATGGTATTTTTTTAAGCTATAATAATGTCTTGCATTTAAATAGAACTTTATAAATTTTTAAGAAGTAATGTCAGGATTTTTTTGTCTATCATAAAATAAAAACAGATGAAAGCTTAGTACTAGATCATTTGGCTTTTCCTTTTCTCTCTCCTCGTTTAAAACACTGGCGTCTCTTACAGGCCAGCGTCCTCCTGCGTCTGTAGCCGGGCTTAGCACATTCAAACTTCAGCACAGTCTTTGTCTTTGGGCTGTTCTCTGGAATTGGCTGCTTGCCAGTCGCGACCACTCCACTTGCTGTCATAAAGCCACTCTCTCTGGACATGCAGAGAATCCTTGCCCACCTGTACTGTGTTGCTTTGTGGGGCTAGTGTTTATTCTGTTGTCTTTGGAAAGTCTGGTGGGTTTTAAAGATGTTCACCACGTTTGCAAAGTGTTGTCATCACAGAAAGGCGCAAGCCAGTCTGGAAACAAAATAGCCACTTTACAATTTTAAAGTCATTTATAGTGTGTATTA